ACACACACACACACACACACACACACACACACACACACACAAACGTTTACCCCACTTCTTCTTCGCCTCTCTTGTTTTGTTTCGGTCTGTCTATATGTCCGTCTGCATGTGTGTGCGTGTGTATGTATGTCTGTCTGTCTGTCTGTCAGCATGTCGGTCTGTCTGTCTGTCAGTCTGACTGACTGTCTGTCTGTCTGTCTGATCTAAAAATTAACGACATAGTAAGAGAGGGAAAAGGGGTAACTCTGAATCCTGAGATCTTCTCCAAGTTCCTGCGAGGCGTTAGGGGTTAGTATATGGAAGATTCGTGCGATGGGTCAAAAAGATTATCTTTTTTTTTTTACCTACAGAAAGTACCCAACGGTGACGCTGAGGACACTATAGAGTTTCGACCTTTGAACCAAGGAGGAACCGGTATCTATGATGAAATCGGCGGAGGCAGAGCTAACAACGGACTTTACCGTCAAGGGCCGAAGATGGGTCCGCCCTCCCCAAGGTTCCACCGGAAGAGTGACGGCAACTTTGAGTTCCCAGATATCTACTCTCAGCCCCAGAAGGGCGCACAGACTTTAGCTGTCCCTGTTGCTGCTGCTGCTGCGACCGTGGCATCTGAGTCACCATCTTCCTCTGGTAAGTGAAGCTGGGAGCTGAAGATTATATTTCATGATGGTTTTAAACAAATTACCAACAAAATTGATTGATACAGTACATTGTGTTTTCAGAGATATGGGTTATTAAAAAGTTTGGAAACAGCTGCCCGTCAGGACAGGGGGGAACAATGTAGTTAAATTAGGTTCAAACAATAATAATATTGGGGAAAGACTGGCTCCATTTATTTTGTTTACATTCATCTGAGCTTAGAACGCTTTCCCGTGAAAGCAGAAACGCTGGTTATTTTTTTTCCTTTGCACTCTTCGTTTTTAACAGTAGCTCAGATGATCTTCCAGGTGTGAACTATAATGAATGGATGCTAATATGCTAATATAGCAAAAACTCTGTAAAAAGTAGAAGGCATGATAAGCAAGTTGTAAAAGGGCTGGAAGGGTGTTCATTGGTTAAATCCAACACTGACATTTTAGAAGTATTGCTGAAAAGGTAAGCAATTTGTTTCTAGTGTGAATAGAATAACGTCACCGGGTTGGGGGGGGGGGTATCGCTTTTTGGTATGTGAATATCACATTGCCGTGCGTTTGCAGTGTCACCAAATCGTTTGTAGGCAACTGCCAGTTCCGTTATTGTGTGTCTCAACCATAGTTATATTTCAATTGTCTCAGACTCTTGAAATCAAGTTTAATTCATTTGCAAAGTATTTTATATCATCTAAATCTGAACCTTCATCCGAACTTCTCGCACTGGTGAAATCAGGGGCAAAAAAGCAGGGGAATACCTTGCAGCCAGAAGTCCCTGGTGCTCTGTACAGACACGGCCCACGCATGGGCCCGCCCTCTCCACGCCTGCACCGGAAATCGGATGGGAGATTTCAGTTTCCGGTTCCGAATGGTGACTCGGACAAATCGAAAGCGGAAACGAGTGCGAGTACGGGAAATGGGAAGAAAGCTCCTAAAGAGGAGCCAGGAGCCAGCGGTAGGCCATAGAGCCTAGAGTTATGACTTGTGGTAATCTTCACCTTCCGTGACCTACATCATAACAGCTTTTACTCTTTCCATTTCGTTTTCCGATCTCGGTGTTGTATAACAGTATCATCTTTTTGATGGCACTTTGTATTTTTCTGTACCGGAATCAGGAGCTTGCACTGGCACCGGTCATTTATGTAAAACATCTTCCCTCTTGAGAGTTCTTTGGTGGTCTTTATTTAATGATGGTGTGCTACATTTTGTCAGTATTAACCATGTAATAAATCTTGAAAAATGATATTTATGTCATAAATAATAAATCTAGAAAAAAAAGTGATTTAAGTCATCTAAATAGCTTTACAACAAAAGCATGGAAGAATAGCTCCAAACATGTGAAGTTCGTTCTCCGTGTAATTCAAAACCTAGTAACCGTAACATTTAAAGTTCACGATGATGTGATATCTTATCTTCATAAAGTTTGTAATATATTGCAATAGTGTGGTAAACCATGTCTTGGAATATCATTTCATATTTATGCTACATTAAGTACTTGACAATTTTAAAAGTTTATGTTGTTTAATATTTTGATGATTTTGATTTCAAACTATAATAATATTATATTAGGATTCCTCACACTGTATCTTGTTTGTGTGTGCACATACTCATATGTCGGCCAGCTGTTGAATTGTACTAAGCCCACTTTTTAATTATAATAACTTTTTTGCAGTTTCTTAAAGTATGGTTTCAGTTGCATGTGCTCAAGAAATATTATGTCGAGATTCAAATTCTAAATGTTGGGAAAAAATGTTTTTAAAATGCATAATCTAGATAGAATGAAACAGGTTTTTTTTTCTCTTTCCTATAAAATTGTATTTTCTCAACTGAGCTTAGCACATTTTAATAGCTTGCTGACAATGTATAAAACACAGTTGAGCACAACGTAAGTGTGCATCAATTCGTGTCGTTGACAATATTATATTATGAATGTCCGGAGAATTAGAGACATCCACCAAACGTTCACTCACACACTGTACCATTAACTTGACCTTAGTACTCACACAAACCCCTCTCTCTCTCTCTCTCTCTCTCTCTCTCTCTCTCTCTCTCTCTCTCTCTCTCTCTCTCTCTCTCTCTCTCTCTCTTCACCCTGAGCCCAGATAAGATAATGTGCCAAAAATTTGATCATTAGAAGGAAATATTTATTGCATATGAAATTCAACCTTGTATTAAATGACAAGATCTACCCGTTTCACTGGCTGGCCTGTTTTTTGCTTGATGTGTTTTGTCGCTGTTCTTGATATTATTATTATTTTTAGATTGCTGTTGCTTTTTTTCCAAGGTGCAGGTGACGTGTTTGGTACCCTGTTCTTTAAGGAAATAGCTGGAGACATCGGTTAATGTCCCACATGCACTTCCAGTCTATAAACTTGATTAAATAAAATATTTACCTTCATTAGTACAAGAACTTTAAGTTGATTATTTTCTAGTCTTTTTATTTTTAAAAGGTCTCTGCTCTTTTGATATACATTTGCAACGTGCTTACAATTACGGCTGCGAGTAAACCAATGTTTAGTCAAATATTTTTCCAGGCAATTAATTGTTTCCTTTATTCATCCGTTCAGTTTCTCGTGTAAGGTTGTCGAGACCTTGAAATCAATTCGTACCTCTTACTCCTGAAACCGTTCTCCCGTTAATTAAAATGAGGAGAAAGTTAACTCAAACTGTTTTATTGTTTGGATGTCGAGTCATATCATAATTTCAGCGTGTTTGTTAGATGTATAATTGATGAATCGAAGATTGTCTATAACAGAACATTTTTGTGAGCTGTCTGTTGTAACACCACATCATCAATTCCTGAAGAGCTATTCGGGACTCTTCTATTTGAATTAGATCTTTTGCAATGGGCCTATAACATGCTGCTAAAACAGTTTTGTAAAATTGCCCTCTTCATGAGTGTTTGTGGAGTTGTTATCTGGCTTAGGAGATTCGAAATTATTTCTTTCACTTTCACATCTCACATTTTGTTATGTCCCCCAGTCGATGAAGAAACTCTATTCATATTTTCAGTCAAGTATTATTTACCAGTATTGAACTCAGTCATTGCTTAATTCAACTTTTTTTAAACTCTGCTGTCAGTGATTCAGACGATGTTTAGAAAGCAAAACCAAAAATGACCCCCCCCCCACACACACACACACGATACACACACACACAAATCCCCAAAGTCACGATTTGTCGACTTATTCCTTGGGCGAGCCCCACTTCTTTGTGCTCTCCCTGTTGTTACTAACCATCTGTATTATACTTTTGGGTTGTTAGGTGGTTTTTTTCCTCACACTAACCAACCGTTATCGTGTCGATGGACGCCTTTTCATCTTTGACTCACACTCACGAACAACCCAGCTTATGGTTTTGGGTCAATGTTTTGCTTCGTGGTGAATGGTTTCAATTGTTCAGTTGTCTCTGGGTTTGGGTGCCTTTTCTTGTCTTTTGTCGTCTTTTTTTCTCTTTTTTTTTTTTTTTTTGGTGATGGGTATGTCACTGAGTATTATGATGTCATGTTTGTTTGGGAACAAGACACACAGTCGAACTTCCCACTCCCAGTCTAACATCACAAAAGAACGTGTGTGGGTTTTATTCTACGCATGTCTTCATTACATTATTTAATCTGTTTAAACATTGTTTATTTAGATCCTAACGTTTTCTGTTTAACAGTGTGATATTTTAAAAGAGTATGTAAAGTGTGATTGAAGACTAACATAATTTTTTATTTCACCAAGTACTATTTACATTGTGTCATATTCTTGTCCAACATTTGGGAAGGTTCTGCCTGAATAGCCCTACGTAGTTCAACATACTGGAAATGAGGTTAAACCACACATCATTGTCTGTTCTGTCACCAATTTCAATTTACTAACAGAAGAATATAACGACTAGTCTCTTTTCATGTAACCAGTACCGATATTATTCAACTGCTGCATGCTAAAATGTGAGCCAAAGTCAAAATTCAACAGGAGCTAAAGAAAGGTTGCTGCTAAAAAATTCCTTCAATTAACCCAATTATCATTTGGTGATTTTCAGAACCACTCCTGAAAGGCCAAGAACCAATGAAATACATCGACGAATCCACGGACGACGAATACGTAAACACCTCTAGAGAGCGCATGCGCATGGCACAGTCCCATGAGCCTCAGCTTGGTCAGGTGACTGAAGAAACACCATCCGCCACACCGTCTGCCTCTCAGTCTCCAGCCCCGACCTTTAAGAACGAGCGGACAAGATCTGAGGATACCAACAGCGGACACGGTGCTTCTGTTTGTGGAAGCAGTCACGGCTCCCTTACGACAGATTTTGACTGACTTGCTAGGAGAATGGGTGACCAGGGGACTAATGGGATAGTCCAGTCTGCCAATTCAAACGGAGTTACCAATTGTTAAAGTTGTTTGATAAAAAGGAAATTTGGGGGTAATATCTTATTTGGATCTTTTTAGTGGTGGATTTTTTAAAGAAGGTTGCCCTGACCATGGTCATATTTCATTTATAATGTACGTAAAGGTGTTCAGTAAATCTTTACCCTGACTATGAGGGAATTGCCGTAAAACGGGGAAAATGCTAAATGTGATTTCTATCTCTCTGGAGTTTTGAAAAATTCAAAAAGAACGGTTTTGACTTGGAGAGCCCTTATAGTGAAGGCATTTCTTAAGTATTAGGGAACCTGGGAACAAAAATTCTTCTGCTGCACTGAGCGGTGAAGGCAGCTCAGACACAAAGCAGTGTGGGTATTAAAAATTCTCCCCCACCAACCCATTCACTGTCTGACTTTTTCCTTTTCTAGATTCTAAATCTAGAACAAAAAATTCTCATAGGACAATGTTTCGGTGTAGCAATGTGCGTGCTAAATTTCAATTTTGTAGCTTGCTTCTTTCATATTCAGGGTAAAGAAATTAATTAAATAAAAAGTGCCCCTTTTTTCAGTTTCCTATGCTCTCAAAAACAATGCATTGCAAGCCGAAAGGATGGTTTTAAGGAAATGTTTTCTACAGTTTTTGTTTAGATTAGTTTTGTACTTATCTCATTTGGAGACAGTGCAGGTTGGCAAACTGAGGGCTGAAATGTCCACAGTTTGGGCTTTTTTTATAAGGTGGAAAGAGGAGAACCGTTTGACACATCGTGTGATAAGAGTTCTTATACTCAGTCTCAATTTGCTGTCCTTTTGTTTGGGTACTGTCTAAACAAGGGGACAGTTAGATTAGGAACATTTTAGATGTATAAGCTTATAATCTAAATTGAATTACAGTGTAAGTGGGTAAATAGTTAAGGAGAATATTCCGTTTTGTCATAAGCTCTGTTCTAACGCAGGACAGTTGAGTTTTTTTGTTTGTTTTTGTTACAAAGGAAACTACTTTTACACTTTTAGTGTTCATGTATCTTTCAAATCAGACTGATTTTTTTTTCACATTGCAAGTTAATCATTTTATTGGGGTTTTTTAACTGCCTATTGAAAGGTGGAAAAAGTTAGGTTTCGAGGTTACTTAATACAAGGAGCTAAATTGGATTTATTTATGGCTCCAAAGGGTGTTGTCGGTTCTCGTTTTTTGTCCAAACCTGTCTCTCAAGAAGGACCTACATTTTGAAAGAGTTCTGCGGACCTTTTGCTGACTTTGATTGATAAGATAAAAGTTAACCAACTGGACTCTTTCGTGTCTCATGATGAATTTCGTCTCACTTTTAAATCCATAATTCCTTCACTTTTTTGTCATATCTTGAATTATGGCTCCTTCCATTTTTCATTTGACGGATGTAATTTTTCTATCATCATTTTGGAAACTGAATCCGAATATGCTTGTGTGTACTTTGCATTTTTATCAAACTATAAGGAACCCACTCCAACTGTCCAACTGAGCATAATGTTTCTTAACGAAGTGGCATTTCATTCTAAATTAAATAGGGGAAACAATTTGCCCTGTGGTGAATGATCCGTGCATGCTATCCCGCGATTCTCGTATTGGAAGGACAATAACGCATCGCCACCTTTCTACAATGATACAGTATCCTGCCCCGCCCGGGTTGGTCCTCAGTTGTTCGGTCGAATCTGCTCACATCCTAAAGAATATAAACTTTATCTATAGAGGTGTGAAACTTTTACATTTAAACCTGTACAACAATCAATGATAAAGAAGTTTTTTTATGACAAAATCATTCACTGATTTCACATAGAATCAAACTGGAAGTTAAGACTGAATATCCACAACGCACTCTTCAGTACGATATTCATTTAGAAATAGAAAGTTTTAAAGGATAAAATACAGCTTACTTATTATGGTCACTGACTCAAGCTTTGTGCCTTTTTGTTTCGTGTTGGATGCTTATATCTATTTTGACGGTTCCCCCGAGATGTGGTAAGGACAATTAATTATGTATTCCTTGCAGATTTCCGGCTGAGATTTCGTTGTCTGTAAGGCATTAGGCTCTTGCATTGCAGTGGTTAAACCACAACGATCATAACGCCACGTTCTTGTCCGTGCGTTGTGTGTGTGTTTGTGTGTGTATGTGTGTGTGTGTGTGTGTGCGTGTGCGCGCGCGCGCGTGTGTGTGTGTGTGTGTGTGTGTTCATGTCTGTGTGTTCATTACTTTTAGTATTCAAGTGGTGCTGTGTGCCGCCTGGATGTGTTTGAATGTTTTTTTC